CTTATTGTAAAGTGTTACCCATGAAATTAATCATCAGATTACAGATTTCAGGCAAAATTTTAATACCGGTACGGGTTTAATACCCAATGCATTTTTTTCCAAAATGATCACACTATTTTACACAGAAAAAAAAAATCATTTTAAATATATAGAAAAGTTTTTGTTTATAAATCCCCCAAAAATGGTGCTCATATATCAACTTAATGCATGCTGGACGAGACTAACCTGAGCCGAATGAAGTGTGCTGGGAGTCTTGGTGGTGTGCTCGGCCAGGGCATGATCAGAAAGTCTCTTAAGGTAGGCCTTCACTGCCTGCTCATCGGGATATGGGGAGGACTTCCCCCCTGTGGCTCTACAGCTGTCCGGCTCAGGAGTGCTGGTCTCTGAGGCTTCGACACAAGCCTCTCCATTTGTGGGCGGAGCTTCAGGCTCCGCTGAGTCTTCTATGGCTGGTTCTACAGGTTCTTGGCTAGATGCAGGAACCTCATTTTGTGGTTCAGAGGCAGGTTTGCTCTCAGGAGGAGGTGTAGATTCAGGGTTAGTGATGGAAGTGGGTGATTTTGGGATCTGGGTTGGCATGGATGGAACAGGTTCTGTAGGAGAGCTCTTGCCTTGCTTACCCCTTGAGCTCTGATCTGGGCTGCCCTCAAATGCAGATGTGGTCTCATTGCTGTCCAGCTCAACACCTACTGGACAGTGATGGCCATCAGAGATAATAACGTGGTCCTCTTTGTCTGTCATAGTGTACAGCATCTGATGGCACTGACCGCACTTGTCTTGAGGGGGGTTCCGAGGCTCCTGCGGAGGGGGGAGACAGCGCACCAGAGCCAGGCTGTGAGTGGCTCCACAGGCCACCTGCAACACATGCCTTCCAGCCAGGTGCTCTACCTTCTGGGGCTTCCAGACAGGAAACGTTGAAGTGTTCAAGCCCAGCTGGCACCCGCTTCCCCAAGCCCAGACTTCATGCTTGGCTGAAAGAGCCAGAGTGTGCTGATCCCCACAAGCCACCTCCAGGATCTTCACCGTCTGAGGGGGCATGGCCTCAGAGTCCAGAACACCCACAGGGGTGGGATTAGGGATAACAGAGAGTCCTGATAGGCCACATTGGCCATGAGTGTTTTCTCCCCACATGTGCATGCCTCCATCTTCTGTCACAACTCCACTGTGGACGGAGCCAGCAGCCACAAAAACAACGCGTTGTTCGCTAAGAACCGCCTCCAAAACGGGCTCAGTCGCTACTGATGATGTTTGGTTCTGTTTCCATGGCAGCTCGCCAAAGCTGTAGACTTGTCCCCCTAAATATAGTATAAATTATTACATTTCTGGATTGCAATATTAATGAAAAATGTATGAGAAGCAACAGTCAATAGTCTTTTCACAACCTTCACAATCTGTTTAAAGCAGTGGTTTTCCACCAGAGGGCCAGTGCCAGCTAGTGGAACTTAGTTAACTTCCAAGTGGGCCACGGGATGACTTAAAATTCTTTCAGTTAATTATATTAAAATAATATAACTTAACTAAAATGCTAACAAAGCTAAAAAACACAAAATCAAGATGTATATTGAGATCATATTTCTTTTTGTCCCCCTCTCAATGATGATTGCTTTTATTCAAGAATTTACAATTCTTTCACTTCTGGAATCACAAAAAGAATTCTACTTAATTAATTAAATATTTCTAAACTCCCAATTTCTGTTAATAATACAGTTTAAAAACAAGCTGCTTTGTCATAATTGCAGCAGAAATACCTTAAAGTGCAAACACATTTACTGTTTTTTTGGTCAATTTTTGCAGATGAAATACATTCATTTCAATGTATTTGTAACTGAAAGTGACTGCAACAATATCGTTCCTCCGTGTAATTATCATTATAGTTGTGTTGACTTCCATATCTCACAGAATTAAAACAATTATTAAAACTTTAGTTATAGTTATTGTTATAGTTATCATTCTTGGTGTGAACTGGCCTTTAGCCTGGGGGCAGTCTTACGAGTCATAAAGTTTGAAAATCACTGTAAACTAAAACATTAAGCATTTTTAGCAGTTTTCTTGTGAAACAAATATTCAACAACACAAAAGAAAAACTTTTTTTAACATGTCGTGGAGGCTGCGGGTCACATTCACCTCAGTGTATCCAAATGTTAATGATCCCTTTTTTAAAAAATGTTTTTTCATTTTAGGAAAGTTTGCCTAAAAATAAAATGCAAGCCTACAGTAAGGGTGCATCTCAATAAATTAGAATGTCGTGGAAAAGTTCATTTCAGTAATTCAACTCAAATTGTGAAACTCGTGTATTAAATAAATTCAATGCACACAGACTGAAGTAGTTTAAGTCTTTGGTTCTTTTAATTGTGATGATTTTGGCTCACATTTCACAAAAACCCACCAATTCACTATCTCAACAAATTAGAATATGGTGACATGCCAATCAGCTAATCAACTCAAAACACCTGCAAAGGTTTCCTGAGCCTTCAAAATGGTCTCTCAGTTTGGTTCACTAGGCTACACAATCATGGGGAAGACTGAATTCTGTAGAACCCATACAAAGTCAATGGGGTCTAAAACAACACTGGACACCAATGAATTTCACTGCATGAGTAATCGATGAGTATTTATTTATGGGGGTGAACTATCGTGTTAAATTACTGTTACTATTCCATGGCTTGTCACAGCTGATTATATCAGCTTGGCAAGGCGTTTCAAAGGCAGATCATGTTATTACATTTTGATAAAAGATCACAAAGAAAAACATTTGTTCTTTGCAACCAATAACTTGTGCACAATAAAACCACGTAAATAGTCCATTTTAATGTTGACTTTAACCTGTTAACAAAGTGCTCATAAAAAATTTGTATCTTGCATCTAAAGGGTTCCCCAGCCAAATTTGCATGTGTATCCAGTGTGAATAATAAATGTATTACCCTCTACTAGCAGAACACCATGTCTAGCTCCCACGGCAGCCTGGAGAACCGGCCGGGAGAGCAGCACCCTCTCCGGTGTGGTGCTGTAGGAATATCCCCTCCACGTGTGGAGAAGTCCTCGCTCCCCAGAACCGTCCTCCTCACCACAACTAGAAACACAGTGATGAATACACTCTCAGGAAAGTCATGAGACAAAAAAATAAACTAAGAACGCTTCCCTGTTCAACATTGCTGGCAGTCTGTCTTTGAACACACTCACCTCATCTGCTTCTCCATCTCTAAACGTTCCCCATATCACAGCTGTTGCGTTTGTCACTGTGGATGATTGTCCTGTAAGAACACAAGTGATGTATGATTTCAGATGTTGGATGACAACAGAGCGTTCGAGAATGACTTGTATGTTTAAGCTCATTTTACTGAGACAATGTTTCATAAAACTAGTCACAAAGTGACTGAGCAAATTCTGAGCATTTCTGTACCTAGGCTACATTTCCTTTTAATCGTAAAATAAGTAAATGAAATGTTTGAGTCCAGAATTTGTGCCAAGCAAAGACTAACAGTGTAAACACATATGTACACACACTGGTCAGGGCCAAAGGTGACGCAGAGCTGTGATGAAATCAGCTGAACTAGTAAACACACAACAACAGATCTAGAACAGTTACTGTTTAGTGTTTAATAATGTTTCAAAATGAATATTAACAACTTCTTTTCTGAGTCAGTTAAAACACAAGCTGTCAAGCAGGTTTAGATGGTCATAAATAAAAGTCATGCATTTAAGCAAAAGGAAAACAACAAATCTAGAATTACATCATCTACGTCGACAGGTGGAGATCACGTTAAATAACTCATGAATTAAAAATACCACTGTAAAGTCATAATACAGTCTCTAGAAGACATAAATATTTCTAATTGTCATTCTATTCGCTGCTTTAATATCACGCAAGCTAATAAATATGGTGCTTCGTTCATTCTTACCCCGATATGTCAGACTAAAGATCTCAGACAGAAGCGAACGACTCTTGGCTTAATATAGCTTGTCAGCTTTTAAAACACTTGATCAGAGAAGTAAAATAAGCCGGTGAAAGAAGAGCAGACCCAGCAGAGCGAAGCTCACGATGATTATTATGATGACAATCGGGTGTGTTGTTATGGTGTTGTTGTGAGCGCTTCAACGGACGGAGAAGCAGGAGGGACAAACATCACAGAGTATTTACGCTTTCGCTTTTTCTACTCGATTCGGCAGAAAAGGAAAGATGAGTTGGTTGCTTGAAATGTTGAGCTGGTAAGCTGAATATATTAGCTTACTGGTCGATAGAAACTGTAAATTGGATTGCAGATTAATAATAATAATAAATGGACTACTGAGCAATTATTGTCTCGGTTTAACTATTTTTCTTAGCGAACGCAGTAAGCTAAATTACAAGTAAAATTATTAAAAATCAGCATCCTGTCGGGATTTATTCTGCGATCATGATAATTCCCTTAAATATCCTAATAGTTAATTATGTATAATATACAGTAGTACGAATTTCTTTTAATGTTGATCAAATCACGCAGCCAAGATTTGCTTTATATGCGAATAAAGTGAAATATACTATAAATCCAACTTTAAATATATCACTGGGCGATAAGTTTACACTTTGCGACGATATAAACAATAAAGCAGTTGGGATTTGCTGGTATATTTGTATATTTGTTTTGCTGTGGTTAAAGCGTTCCATCAATCAGAAACCACTTATGTATTTATAATTAAATTAAGTAATTCATTCATTCATTCATTCATTGTTTTGTGTGTGTGTTTTTTGGAGTTGAGAGTTTAATTTCAAGCTAACATTTGTTTTCCAAATATTGTATCTCTACTGCTCCTTCTCAGCTCTCTTTCTCACATCCTCTGGGTGTTTTAGATGCACCAGCCTTTCAAAACAAACCAGCAATCCCTTGCCTCTCTTTATTTTTCAGCCAATTGGATGGTGGTTTGCAGAAGAATTCTGATTGGCCTGTGACCACACAAGCGGCAGTGGCAGCTGCAGGAGGCAGGAGAGCAACAGAAAGAGAGAGAGAGAGTGGTACAGAGAGACAGGAGGAGAGCTCAGAGTAATCGTAGGAGGACAGAGAAGGGAACTTGTGTCAGCGTGGGTGCTGAAGCAGGAGAATGACATGCTGGATAAAGGGGCAGCGATGATGTCCAGTACCATATTCAAAATGTCCAGGTCACAGTGAGAGCCTCCTGTCGTAACAACAGTAGTTCCATCAAGATCCATCAGAAGAAGCAGACAGCATGCAGAACCTCCGGCATGCAGCTTCTGAGGCTTTTCAGCGTCTCGGTAAGTACGTTTCAGCTGTATCTAAGAATATACAATCAGTATGAAAATCTGTCCTTAATATAACGTGTGTCAATGTCTCATCACGTGGGAAGTAGGAATAGTACATAATTAAAGAGATAAAATAACAATCTTCTTTATCCCCAGCATCTCCCAAACTGTAAATAACTTGATTCGTTCATGTACTCTGAGCTGCATAGAATGGCTACATTTGCATTCTCGTTTGTGCCTCACATAATTATTAGATAATATTATTTGTATTTGTGCTCAATTGCAATTCTTGTATCAGCTATATATAATTGAACATACACTCTAAAAAAATGCTGGGTTGTTTCAACCCAATGTTGGGTCAAATATGGACTAACCCAACTGTTGGGTTAAATGTTGGTTACATTTTTAAATGAGCTTTTTAACCCAACAGTTGGGTTAGTCCATATTTGACCCAACATTGGGTTGAAACAACCCAGCATTTTTTAGAGTGTACCATAAAATGGCTTCATAAATTCCTGTGTTGAGGTATTTCCTATTGAAACAGGAAGTTGCGGTGGGTTATATCAAAAGGTTTGTAACTTTTTTAATATTTAATATTTTACATTTATGATTTGCTTTTTGTTTTGGCTAATCAGAGGCAGGACGGTCATTCTCAAATTTCAATCTAGAGAACATATTATTGGACATAAATTTGAATATATTTGTATATTCCTCTGCAAAAAAAGTTCATTATTTTGGTCTGTTTTCCCAGAAGAGATAGCTTATGTATTTTAATCCACATTTCTGAATATCCAGGAACACACTAGCTTATGGTCTCAAAGCTGACAGACATTTATTAGGGTCTTTAACTTGACTTGTTTACCTGACATGATTTACCTGAGTTTCTTGGCCTTCATCTAACCAATCACTGCACTCGTCTGATATGTGAGTGATGGGTGGCTGGCAACATACTAAACAGCACTTACTGCTGTACACACTGCTCACAGAATACTGATCAGCAACGAGAGAGAGTGAAGGAGGGAAAACATGGAGAGTTGGCAACAGAATACAGAACAGTAAGGAAAGGATGTCAAGTTGTGATGAAGGAGAGAACAAACTTGATGGAATAAGGAAAGATACTCATGCAGAGACAGAAAGAGTGGAGTGTAGAGATGGATGAGGGGATGAAAACAGAGAGCGGGAAGGCGTGATGCATCTGAGCATGAGTTATGAGCTCTCTTAGCCCTCCCTTACCCTGACTCATAAATATCTGTGCAGACAGAGAGAATGAAAAAAATGCTCCGGGGGGAAGCAGAAACACACAGAGACAGCAGAGATCATTGGTCGACACACAAGGGTGAAAAAAAATATACTCTCTCCACTGAGTAACCTCTGTGATTGACATTTTATAATATACAGCATACTTTTCAATGACATTTGTGCCTGAGATTGCATTTCATTTTCACCCCAAAATTAAAATGTGCTGAAAGCTTACTCACCATCAGGCCATCCAAGATGTGAATGAGTTTTTTTCTTCATCAGAACAGGTTTAGAGAAAAGTAGCAATACATCACTTGCTCACCACTGGATCCTCTGCAGTGAATGGGTGCCGTCAGAATGAGAGTCCAAACAGCTGATAAAAGCATCACAATATGCATCACGAGTAATCATCATGACTCCAAGTGTTTGTAATAAACAAATCCGTTATTAACACGTTTAACTTTCGATTCCAGCTAAAATACGAGTCCTCTGTCCATAATATTGCTTTCTCCAGAGAAAAAGTCATCTCATCTGAATCAGGAGAGAAATATCTACAGATCAAGCAGTTTACAAAAAAAAAACAGTCCAAAATGGTTCAATATGTTGGTGGATTTTGAACTGAGAGGAGAACAGGGGGTGGACTTTTTCACTGGAGGAAGCATTATTATGGATTATGAACTCCTATTTTAGCCAGAAGCAGTGGTTTAAAAAGTTTAAATGCCCTAATGATGGATTTGTTTCTCACAAACACGCATCTTTTCACTTCACAAGATGTTAATTGATGGACTGGAGTCGTTATTATGGATTATGAACTCCTATTTTAGCCAGAAGCAGAGGTTTAAAGTTGAAATGCCCTAATGATGGATTTGTTTCTCACAAACACGCATCTTTTCACTTCACAAGATGTTAATTGATGGACTGGAGTCATGTGGATTACTTGTGGATTATTGTGATGTTTTTATCAGCTGTTTGGACTCTCATACTGACGGCACCCATTCACTGCATCACTGGTGAACAAGTGATGTAATGCTACATTTCTCTTTTCTGATGAAGTAAACAAACTCATCTACGTTTTGGATGGCTTGAGGGTTAGTATATTTTCAGCAATTGTCTTTTTTGGGTGAACTATTCCTTTAAATATTAGAAATAATATTTCATGCTTCCCTTGGCACGTATTTCTAATTAATACATTTTTTAATAGATGCTTGATGTGAAATGGACTCCCTACAACCTCCTAGAATGAGTTTCATGGCAGCTTTTGGTTAATGGAGACTGGTCACTGCGGGATGATGACCTTTCTTCCCTGTCAAGGACGACACTAATCTCCTCAGAGTGACACCTGCAGCCGAGCCAAAAAGAGATTTTAGTAAATTAGATCTGGAACGATCCAACCTCCCTACAACCTCCTAGAATGAGTTTCATGGCAGCTTTTGGTTAATGGAGACTGGTCACTGCGGGATGATGACCTTTCTTCCCTGTCAAGGACGAATCTCCTCAGAGTGACACCTGCAGCCGAGCCAAAAAGAGATTTTAGTAAATTAGATCTGGAACGATCCAACAGAGACATACAGTCTTCTGGGTCAACTTACAGGGCTTTGTATTTCAGTCATCTAATGGTATGTAGTAATATCAACATTAATGCAGTCAACTATAAAGGGAGCCTTTAATGAAATCCTTCCTATATCACAATCATAATAACTACTTTGGTATTAGTCTCTCAGAAAACCGCAGCAGTGGGATTTCTAGTGTTAAAGAATAGATCTTTTTAAAAACTTTCTTCTTAACAGAGAAGTTCTCTATAGTATTTGACATGGTAAAAGTTACTGGACAGTTTTAGGGCAGAGCTGTCTTCCTGGAGTCCCATTGAGCCTTAAAATGTACGAAGATGGGCTTATTTTTATATCCCCTGTATCTTTTGCCTAAACAGAGTTCATTGACTGTCAGAACATATCTAATCATGCATTACATAGCAGATGCACTCTGCCTCTTAGAGACACTTTTCAAATATACATCACCGAAATGAACATTTTAAAAGTTGAGTGCTGTTTTACAGAGCACCCATCAGCTGAACTGTGATCATGGGGTCTTTCTCTTCCTCTCTTTGTTGGTTCCTAACTCTCTGAACCCGTTTAGTGTAGAATTTGCTGCTGAAATTTAAATGAAGGTGAAGGGTAAATCTCAGACCCCCTGTACACGACCCCCTGCTCCTGTTCGCCTCTCCCGTCAGGAGCTTAAACACGAAGCGTGACTCACCTTGTACCTGCTTTATCAAACCACACACACACACACACACACAGTTACATACTGAGAATTCTGAAGTATTATGTGTTCTTCCTCCTTAGTCTATAAAATGAAAGCTTTTTCATTTATTAAATGTATTAAAGGAAAGTGTGTATTCAATATAATTAAATATATGATATTATAATATTATGCATTATATTTATATTGTAATTTAAATATTTATGTTATAGGAGCCAGTCTTTAAATACTATGAACTAACAATAATCATTTGATACAGTGCACTTGTGTACATATGTTTTTACATTTTTATATTTAGATATATTTGTGTTTTTAATTATTTATATATTTTTGAAAAATGTAAATAACTAAAATGTAATTAAATCCTTAATTATACTGTTGACTTTGTATGATATATGACTTGATAAGCACACGCACGCTCTCTCTCTCTCTCTCTCTCATCTGACATAATAGTAGTATGATTGCTTTCATTTTTCACTGTATCCAAGTGCTGTTCCTATAAAAAGCTCTTATAAATATCATTATAAAACCATTACAAACACAGCAAAATCCATTTATCACACATGAAGGGTACTACAGTGAATACTATATTTTATTTATTAGATGTATTAAATGAAAGTAATGCATGTAAATGTGATCAATATAATTCAATATATAATATTATTTAATTTGTATTTAGGTTATGTATTTATGTATTTAACGCATACATTAAATATGTTTAATTTATGTATTGAATTTAGATTATATTTAGATTATATGTAATATTTAATATATATATATAGTTATTAAGTATATCGAATATCATATAAATACGTTAAGTACAAATTAAATATATAATTTGTAATTATATCATAAGATTATAATATTTAATTATATTTAATACACTTACATGCATGTGAGAGAGAGAGAGAGAGAGAGGGTGTGTGTGTGTGTCTTTTTTTCAGTGTATCCAGGCTCTTTCCTTTGAAAACGTCTTTAAATATCTTTATAAAACCATTACAAATAGTCAACCCATTTCTCACACATGAAGTATACTGCAGGGAACACTGTGTATCTGGACAGTTAATGTGTTGTGGTCCATCTAAACTGCTCTTTTATGTTTTACAGGGTTAAAGCAAAGACATCTGGGCTATGAGGAGGTAAGAACATTTGACATGACATTACACAACATATTAGGAGCACAAACAAACATCCCTCCACCCACAGAGAAAGGACAGATGACAGCTGGAGGCGGAAGAGAGAAATACAGCAGAGGGAGAGATAGGAAAGACAAAATAACAAGTTGAGAAAAAATGCTCCACTGCCCTCTATTGGGGGAATGAAAGATACTGTGTTTGGAATGGTACACTACCATTCTGTTCTGACTTGTCCTGCAGTGTATAGTATGTACGCAGTACGAACATATATTTTATGCACAGAATACCCAGATAACCTACTATATTTGCTAAAATATTCATTATACAACAGAGCCAATAGACCCTGTCCCAACTGTTGCACAATAACTATTTTTATTTTGATGAACATGTGACAACTATGCATATGCAATATACTGCACAGAATTCAGTAAGTAGTAAACTAGTATTTTCTTAGGGAGAGTGGCAGCACAGCAGCGCACAACATTCTGTCCTCCTGTCAGTAATTGGTGTCTTATCATGGCTCAATTGAGCATGTCCCAACATCAAACAGGACTATATGATTATGTCTTTTTGAATTACAATAACATTGAAATTTGTAGCATTGTAGAAGAATGTCTCATAAAAATATCACACTAACTTTGTAATGTCATTGAAAAATAGGTCTGGTTTTGAACGTTGTATCATAATAGTCTCTGCTTTACTGTAATGTTAAAGGGTTCAACTATTTGAGCATTTCCATCTATTTTAGTGTTCTTGTGTCACTTCCAAGAAAATATTGAAATAATATTTTATATATAAATATTGTCGAAAGTAATGTATTTGATTGAAGGGAAGCCATTTTAGTTCCAAATGATCTGAAGATATAATTGGCTGGTTACAGTACGTTCTGTACAGTGAACCCCGAAGTCCATTCTGAGAGTGTCAGTTGTCCCTGTGTGCGATGAAATCGTGAATAGAATATAGGCAAGGAGAGAGAAATAGGGAACATTAGAGCTAAAAGAGACTTCTGTGTCAGGACATTCTGGCATCATTGGCTGTTCAACTTTATGTGCTGTTGTTGTTATCCTTACAAAAATATAACATGGGAACTATAGTTCCTGCCAAAATATCATTACAGTTAAACAAATTAAAACTAAATGACATTGATTTTGAAAGGTTTTCACACAGTTTGATGGCGCTCTTACATTAATTTATAGTTTGATAGTAGAATCAATAACTGTAGACCCTTTCTTTCTTTCTTTGTTAACACATAATCTGACTGCTTTTATAGAAAGTACAGCACCACACAAAATAAATCATATTGTACTCTATATGAATGTGCATCTTCAGTCTGAATTGAATGTTATAAGACTTTTTTACCATAAAAAAGATGGAAATGTAAGCAATAAAAGCTGAATTTATTTGATCAAAGACATAGTAAAAACAGTAATATTGTGAAATATTATTACAAATTAAAATAACTGATTTCTATTTTAATATATTTTCATTTATTCCAGTGATTGCCTAGGTGAGTTTACAGCAGCCATTACTCCAGTCTTCATTGTCACATGATCCTTAAGAAATTATTATAATATGCTGATTTGGTGATCAATGGTGATGATTATTATTACATTTGAAAATCATTTCTGCTGCTTAATATTTTTGTGGAAACTGATACATTTTGTTTTAGGTTTCACTGATGAATAAAAAGCTCAAATAACAGCATTTATTTGAAAGAGAAATCTTCTGTAAAGCTAGAAATGTTTTGCTTTTGATCAGTTTAATGCATCATACCAGTTGTATACCTACATTTAATCAGCATGTAAAGCACTTTAGGATTCAGAGCTTCAGAGCTGGTATAAATAAAAACCCTGAAGCCACATAAGCATGAAAATGAGGACACGGTTCACACTTGTACGCACACAGACAGGTGCGATGGATACGGTAAGATGGCTGTATCAGCGAAACAAGGTGTAATAACATCTCATGCTGTATCTGATATAGATCAAACTATCCCCATGTGTTGCTCTCTCTTTGTCTCTGCGTTCAGCTGGGAGAGCTGGACGGGGTGGAGAAACCACAGCCGCACTGGTTTCACACGCTGCAGGTGCGACGGCTCAGAGTTCAGAGGGGCCGCAGTAACAGCGATCCTATGGGAGGAAAGAGCTTCCAGCAAGAGTTCCAGTGGGTGAGGGGCACACAAATACAACTCAGATATACAACAATACACAACAAGGGATTTAAAGGCACAATGTGTCATTTTCGCCTCTAGAGGGCGCGTATTCAAAATAAACAAATAGACAAAGGCGTAGTTTGATGATGCCGTGACTGAGTGTGGAATCATGGGAGTTGTGGTCTTCATTCCGACAGCCGATGCAATCCGACGGGACTCGGGCAGAAATCATGTTCATGGATGAGCTAATGATTTATTAACGTAGTAGAATGAAGCAGGGTGAGGCTGAAAGCCATCGAAGTGAAACGAGCCCGCTGAACGAGCGTGACACACGACTCGAAAGCAGCAGAGCTTTTATTATGCCACAGTCGACCGCTTCCGCTCCTTCCGGTCGTGCGTATGTGGGGGGAAAAAGCAGCGCTGTTTTATCATACTAGATACATTTGAAAGTTCTGTTATAATGCTACTCTGTGCGGTCATCAC